TAATTTAAATTATGTATTATATATATAAAATATATACATATATATAATTTAAAAGATATATATAAATTAAATATATTATATACATATACATAGAATTAAAATATTATATACATCTATAATTTATAATTTAAAATATTATATACATGTATAATATATAAATAAAAACATAAATACATATATATATAAGTTTATGTATATATGTAATAAAATATATATAATTAAATATAAAAATAAGAAGAAGAAAAATATAAGAAGTGTTGAGTAGAAGAAATTAAAGAGAAGAGTAATGTTATAAATAATAAAAAAACACTATCAAACCATCATAAAACCCCGAATCGGTGATTTGAAAAAATAAAAAAAAATTATGGTTTGAGAACCATGACTCAACTACCAAAAAACTATTACATGTGTTTGAAAATGTAAACAAATAAAAAAAAATTATGAAAAAATCATATTATCATTATTGAACAACCATGCAAACAAGACCTAAGTCTCAACTCGGCCCATTTCGAAAATTGTGTTAGCCCTTTGGGCTTGACTCTTATTAGAATTGGGGTTAGCTTTATTCTTTTACCCATTAACATATTGGGGATGACCCAGTATTAAGCCCATTACCCAACCTGACCCACTAGATACTTCATCTTCCCCATTTCCACCAGTTTTTAAACTAAGACCTTCTATTGATAACCAACAACTCTTCCTATTTGCAAATCACCTAAGGAAAATCACAACTCGGGTATGTTTTGAATAACAAAATATTAATTCATCTATATCCTATAATTTTTAACTCATTATGCTAGTAATTTCAAACATTTTTTAGCTTCCATTAATCACAATCTAGGCTAACGGGTTAAATAAATCTTACCTTTTTTGTTCCACGGAGATGTGATGTGTGTTAATTTCAGCAATTAAATGGATGACCCACTAACCTACTATTTTATTTTCTCATCCACTTGTAACGACTGAAACCAATTTAAATGATACTCAAAATAATAGATAACTGTTATAAAAGAAAAAGTACACTGATTGAGTGGGTAACTTCAAAATAAATTATAGAATTATTGTATTTTACGAGTATTAATCTACAATAATATAAACAGTTATCAACACATTCACTTACCTTGAATGTGCTTTGACATCTCCTCTTATCTATAAAAATAGCACAAGTTTTCCTTTCAATTTGTCTTCCATCAGCTAAAGTTATAAAATTTTATACATAAGAGTTAGATAGAGAGAAGAGTGAGTAGAGAATTAAAATTTTTTTCAATAGGTCTCTCAATTATGCTATAATTGCATAATCTCATAACGATATATATCTCTAAATTTCTACTGTCTTTCTTTTCTTAAGATGTGTTGCATTCAATAAAAAAGATAACTTCAACATAAAAGTTTCTTACATTTGGTATTAGAGTAAAGTTGAATTCACACATATTAGAATTCTATTAACAATTTATATATATATATATATATATATATATATTATACTAACATTATATGCATATTATACTAACAGTTTATATTTATATATATACATATAATTTTACTCTAACAGTTTATTCATATATTATTGTATTAACAATTTATGTATATATATTATTGCACTAATAATTTATACATATATATATATTATTGCACTAACAGTTTACATATATGTATATATTAATATATTATTACACTAACAGTTTATACATATGTCTATATATTATACTAATAGTTTATATATGTATATGTTAAATTAAAGTTAATTTCATAAATGTAATATATATGTATATTTTATACAAATTATAGTTTCGTAGTTTTATGACCTAAGATTTATTAACATGACAAGTTACCAAAGTAACTCAGGTTAATGAGTATTACGTTAGTTAAACTACATTAAAGAATCAAATGAGACATATAAAATAATAATATATATATTTTTATAATATAAGATTGAGACTAACCCAAAAGAGAGTTATTTTCTACTAATTATGAACTAATAGTTTATTTTATGTTGTTTAGATGGATACCTAAAGGTAACATATATATGACACAAAATATTAAATATTTTAAGCTCCTTTGAGTGAACACTAGATATACTTATATTTTGCTTAAATGAAAAAATATAGTGATATCAATAGTTTATTTTTATAAATTTAATATTATAAATATACTTGAGGTTTTATTATGACCATTGTTCTATTTTTATAGTTTCCGCTTTATTCTATTCTCTTGCATATGGAAAGACAACTTTTGATGGGTCAAATCTTGTGGAGTGGGATGAAAGGGTCCAATTCTCACTAGGTTTATTGGATCTTAATCTGACTTTGATAATTGAAAAACCTCCTAAAGCTACCGATGATAATACTCGGGAGCAGAATGAACAATTCAAAGTTTGGACAAGGTCAAACAAACTCAGTCTTATGTTTATGAGAATGATAATTGTCACTAACATCAAAACTTCCCTATCTCAAATTGATATAGCCTCCTAATTTCTAAAATCTATCTTGAGCGTTTCAAATGCGCCAATAAGTCTCTTGCAAGCAGATTGATAGCTGAATTGACCATTATAAAATATAATGGTCAGAAAAAATTTAGTAACACATTTTAAACATGGCTGAGAATGCTGCAAAACTTAAGACATTGGCCATGAACATGGATGAGTCATTCTTAGTTCAATTTGTCCTTAACTCATTTCATTTCCTTCGCAGTTTGCTCCATTTAAAATTCACTATAACACTAATAATGAACAATGGAATATGAATGACCTTGCTAGAAAGTGTATTTAAGAGGAAATGAGATTAAAGCAAGATGGACATAACTTTTCTCTTGCAGTTACTCATGGAGCTATGAAGAATAAAAACAAACTCAAAAAAGTAAAAAACATTCCACCAAAGAAACAGAGTAGACTTGGGGAGAATAACCAAAGTCATGATGGAAAATTTACTCTAAGTTGTTACTTTTATGGAAAGAAAAGTCACATAAAAAAGGAATGTAATAAGTGTAAGGCTTGGTTTAAAAAGAGATTGTGAATCTTTCTTTTATATGTTATAAATCAAATCTTATTGAGGTTCATTCTAATACTTGGTAGATTGATTCTAGAGCCACAGCTCATGTTACTAATTTAATGCAAGGATTCCTTACAACCCGAAAATCGAAAGAAAGTGAAAAGTTCCCTTATATGGGAAACTGTTTCAAAGTATAAGTGGTAGCTGTAGGTACCTAACATTTGGTATTAGAGACTAGTCATCATATGGATCTCTTGAGCACTTTTTATGTTTCTTTAATTTCTAGAAATTTAATTTCATTATTCAAATTAGATGTTGTTAGATATTAAATTTATTTCAAT